TAAATGAATGCACCAATAAATGTGTTTCTGCACAGCTTTGGTCTAATCTCTCGAAACAAAGGACAGAAGCAAAAAAAAAGCGGATGGAGACCCATGAACCGAATCGGAAACATTACCCTCTGGTCGTGACTGCAACAGCATAAACAAACCTCATCAATGATTTGTTTTCATACTTCACCAAAAGCCATAATATATTTGTTTTCCTGACAAGAAGCTCACCATCCCACTAAATCATCAAAAATTCCTACAACCTTCCACAGTAATGCATTCACCTGCTATTTCGTGAGGTCCTATGCCATAAGGCTATGTCCTGCACAGTCCCTGGTCAGGTCGGTGCGTAGTGAAGTAAATATACACGCACCGTCTTTTGTTGAACGATGCATTTACCTTTGCATAATTCATGCAAAATCCGTTTGCCAGCGTAGCATTTATCACAATCACTTGATGTCCAAAGATGGCCATTTTGTGGTGACACGTACAATTTTTCAACTCATACACCCATCAGTTTTGCAAGATTTCAGCAACAGTGAATTGCCCATTGGTAGCCCCAAATCAAGAAAGGGGGAGGCAAGTTAACATTGCAGAGGCCAGGCTCCTCACACGGGAGCAAATAACACGCCAGCCTATAATCTTTGCTATTGTGTAGCAGCTAAGTGGCTTGGTACCTGCGCACCTAGGTATCTACTCACTTATCCAGGGATGAAGGGAATTGGTGAAAGGACGTCATTGATTGTTCCTAACCCTTGATGACAACAAAGACGGGGACGACACTCTAACTTTTATTTTCATTTCAATGCAGTAAACAAAAAAATTAGATCTCCATAGCCAATTTCTGACACTAGGCCTTTCTCATAAGACAGTGAAGACATCAATCATGCAATACTTCATTGGACCCAGGCATCGCATTATTAGTTGTCATATCGCGATCAAACTCAACAGCTGTTCTGACGTGCAATTCTATCGGCGCTTCCAAAGTTGGAATACAATCTTCAGGCAATGCTGGGCGGGCGAGGGTATTCCTGGAAAGGAAGAAGGTAGACCGCAGAACTGACGCGTGATTGGTCGAGGTATCTTCAGAATTGCCGGTCGGATGGGAGCCCGTGAGCGCGGGCCCGGCGGGCGAAAATTCGTGATTACAATAGAAATGGTTCAGAGCAGGGGCCATCATCACAGCTTGGGAAATTGGTCAGGCGGGCGGCTCCGTAACGTTAGGCGGTGACATCACGAAGTCGCGCTGGCTTGAGCAGCGGCGTTGCATGGCAACGTCGACTGCGTCGTTTGGAAAACAGCAGGCACGCAGAAATGCTGTGGTCGGTCTTGTCTATTATCGTGCGGCGTGGTACCAAGTTTGTATTGTTATGTAGCCTCGGTGCGTGCTATTATGTCGCGGGTCGGAAAAATTCGAAATGGTGTGGGAGCATTGGGCAAGAGTGAGCATCAAAGGCGGTTTTTTGGCAGCAAGATGCCATCCTGTGAGGCAGCCTCTTGCAAAGATGTTAAACGGCGCAATGAAGGCACTAAAGCTTTTTACATTTCTAAAAAAACGATCCAACTGTCATGAAAACATGAGTGCACAGTTGCTCTTGGACTAACTATAAATGTGGAGAATGCGGTAACCTGATCTGATCATTTTCAGGATCGTGACTTATCCTGGCCCTCTGGTTAAGACCAGTCCCAAACCCAATGTTAAATGCCTTCGACCAAGTGCAGTTCCTTCCATGCAACTGGACATCGCCGGCACGCCGAAGTGAGTATGTGTGTGCTTAAGAAGGAAAGTTACCGTCTGTTTTATGCAGAGATCTTTCAGCCCGATTTACAGTTTAAGGCATGCGCAATCTATGCCCATCTGTGCAGTTTGCAGACTACAATACGAGATTCAAACGAGACTTTCCAACCATAATCTTGTTTACAAAGTGGGGCCTGACTACCACACAAGTGGTACAGCCATCTATGCTACACTGGCGAAGGGAGTGCGTGTCAGGGGTGGAGCCATGGTTAGCGACGGGGGAGGGCAAGTTTGCACGAGCGAGTCCGAAACCCATTGACAACACATCTATGCACTGTGAACTGACTAATAGACACCCCAACCGCTAATAAACCGCACCTAGCACCGCACCTAGCACCGCACCGCACCCAACCGCAGTACCTAGCGCATCAATGAGCTACCAGTATTGGTTTGCCCTGGTGCCTTGAACATTTCTTTCAGCCGCGTGCCGTACATGTTCGCCGCCTATATGCGAGCCTTAATACTAATGAGCCACTTTTGTACTCTGCGTGTCACTGTCCATGCTAGTGTTTGAGATTTCAAACAAAAGGTATTTGCCTGGCCACCAAAGTTCGGGATTACATACAGTAATATCATGGTAAAAAAATGCTGATGTGCCTAAACCTTAGACCTTGAACCTCACGTGCAGAGACGAATGGAGGTGGGAGGGCTCGGAGGGCCGCGCTGTTCTCGTGTATTTTTGCATCGGAAAACAGTAATGGCGGCGCCACCCCCCTGGGGCAACCGATGCACTGAAATGGGACCATGAAACGGGACCATCCAGACAAATCCGTGGCTATCGCCAGGAGCGGTGGATATGAGAATGATGCATGCAGTGCAGCACTCGTCGGCCATTGACCGTCCCTCTTACCCACTCGAATTATGTCACGCTGGACCACCAAAAAGCATTTGTGTATGAAAACAAGCATGAGATAACCCAAAAAAGGGCATGTCCGGGTCCAACACGTTTTGCTGTCGCAATAAGAAGCAACATTGGTGACTTGTAATACGGTCTGATTAATGCGTCTGTCAGGTACGTGGAAATGACTGTGTTTCGTTGTATCACAGACCTAAGATCCAGCTGTGATGGAGGTCGCAGAGCATGCGGACAAAGCGGAAGCTGCCTACCAGCAAACAGTCGTGAGGCCTCCAGTGCCCGTCCCGAACGGGTTCGGTGAGGACGGCGGGGTCAACGAGTCGGGCGAAGACACGCTCCATGGTGGTGACGGCGAGAGGGCCGAAAATGGCCCCCGCCGCGGCGACGAGATGGACAAGGTCAACATCCAGCACGGGGCGCTGACCCTCGTTGCCTGCTTCGTGGCGGTGCAAAGTGCAAACACCTCGATCCAAGTATGGGACTGTCGACCCGAGAGACACCACCCAGCTGTGTACCAGACGGGTGGATACACGCGATTAGCCAGGGTGGTCTGATGGTACCGTTGCTGGCCTGGACGAGCGTTGTCGAGGCTTTTTCAAGATCGTGTTCCAGCTAGTGGTGGGCTGAGGCAGGGACGGAGACATTGGTATTGTCGACCACCTCACAAAGCTCCTGCTGAGAAAGTTTTGCGCTGGACAAACAGATTACTCGGTAGCTGGTGACAACGCGCATCCATCTGCGCCTCGGATGGCTTAATCAGGCTGGGGCTGAGCGAACTGCTGCCAGGCGCGTAGCCAAATAGGTGCGACATCAGGTGGACAGCGTTAAGTGAACATCGTTGTGCTCATGTGAACAAAAGTAAGTGACCTTAAGTGAGTATCGTCATGCCATCTTTGTCTTGCATGCTTGTGTGTCTGTTTGAGGCATAGACAGTTCCTTCGCAGATAAACGTTGGGGTTGTTTCAGACTGGTTATCATGTCGCATAACCCTAGATTTAAGCTGAAAATTATACACTTGTGTTCTCCACCCCCCCCCCCCCTCCCTGTTTGCTTTGTGTCCTCGCCAAGTGTGCACATTAAAGTGTATGCTGGGCGCAAGAATCGTTTTAGTAAAATACAGTGAATTATGAGCCATACGTGTGTTCGATGAACTGGCTGTATGGCGTAACGGATATTTTCTTGATTAACGCCACGCGCCACGACCTCCGGAGGCTTCGTGTCACAATCGATGCAATGTGCAATGTCCACAATGTCCTATGTTCTACCAGACAGCACACCTCTTCCGTCGTCTCAAACTGCCTCCATCACACACCAGTTCAACCCGGCGCGTCATTATACATAATGCTGAGGTTCAGCGCGACAGTTCGGATGATGATTCTGGTGCCGGTCAGTTCCCCTTTGCCAGTGGCTGGGCATTGGGCAGGCTCGCCAGCCTGCATTTAGGCAGCTGTAGGCTGGCTAAATTCAATACATCGCCATAGACTCAATGTTTGACATCCTCAGCAAGTGGGAGTGCCATGGCACACAGGCTCTCGGTTCTTAGGCCTATGTTAGCTGTTATGCACCCAGCGTGGCTAAAACACCCCCTTTCATATCTCCTGATAAAACTTCTTAAGCACCCTGTGGCGATCACCAGATGCATTTGTTTGTAAGTGCACCGGTGTAGCAGACGCGAAGATAATGCAGGCGGAGAGGTGATGCCAGGCTGCGACTTTGTGACCTCACGGTAACAGTGAAGGGAAAGTGCTGGAAAAATCCCCGGATGATCATACCTTACTACATGGCCTTGGTTCAGAGTGAGTTAAGGTATTTCGTGATCGCTTGATGTCCATTACGCATAGAACTGACTTTTCGAACGAGATTCTGTATTTTTGCACTCTCTTACCTCCAAGGCTGCCAATCTGTGTATGCTTGACACGTGCAACCATCTGAAAGGTTTTTGGAGGGTGTATAAGCCCGGTACGTAACCGCCCTGTGTTTTGGAGGGCGTAGAAGCCCGGTGTGTAACCGTCCTACGTTTGGAGGGTATAAACGCACTGCCTATAACAAAATGTTATTTATGTGCCCACAAATACACTAGGACGAACCAGGAAGTCGCAAAGAAATAATTGTTCCCAGATTTTGAAAGAACATAACAGTCAACCACATTATGTTACGTCGTGCCCTGTTTGAACTCGTGAAACATCGGCGGAGTTGTGTCGGGGAAAGTCGTATGAAACGTACGTCGGCATTTTCTTGAAATACTTGCAGTAGTTGAGGACCATCCAAGGTCATGGTGATAAAAATGAGACCCGTTACCCGACGCAGGTAAGACAAAATAACGCGCAAGCACGACCGACGAAATCCTGCATATCGATAAACGTGGTTTAGGTCGGATGTCATACCCGGGCGTGTCTGTGTGAGAGCCGGCGTATGTTTGCATGAGCCGCCCACATTTTCCATGCTCTCCCCCAGCTCTGATCAGTTTTTGGAACTATTTTTGAGCCGTCTTTGTTTGCTGTATTGCTATTAATATCCTTTGCCATTTTCTCCGTATGCACTATTTCCGGGCCCCCAGGTTTGATTCCCTTTTGTTTTCTTATCTTCCAGTCATGATGTTCCTCATTGCTAATATTGGCACTATATTTCCTGAATTTGCGTCTTATTCCAGCACCCATGGTCTCCTCACATATTCATGTGTTGCCTCATCATGCAGGCCATTCATTTACAGTGTTTAATGTGTTTAAGTTGACCCCATCCTTTATTCCTTTTTTATTGACATTGTTTTCCCTGGTTGTACCCAGCATAACCAAACCCACCATATTTTTCAGCCTTAGCTAGTGGGCACTGCCAGAGCCCAAGATGGGTGGTCACGACCATCATCATGGAGGAGACTGTGAGCATGAAAACAATGGCATTGACCCTTCTGAAATGGGGATCATGTACAGCCTGTACCAGAAAATTGACATTGACCATGTGGTATGCCTTAATGAAGAGGAGGAGGACTCAGGCAAGCATGTGTTTAAGGCTTGGGAGGACAGGCTTGACAAGGAGAAGGTAGGCACTGTTCATTTATTAACCAATGTAATATACACAAGTTTGAGAAAGATTGACATCCGGACTTGAACCTCGAAGGGTGGTTAAAGCATCATAATTTTGGCCATTGTGGGAGCAGCAAAAAAATATGTTTGAGAACAGGTCTTTGTAACTGCTGCACTACATCCTACACTTTTGCTCTAAACTTCCCATTAAGGGAGGGAGTACAAGCCAGATAAACAGAGCTCTGCATATCCTGTAAGCAGAGTGAATTGGCGGATTACTCCATCTTGTTTTTGTGCAAAATTTGTGTTGGCTTGACTTTCCTTAACCTTTTTGTAATTTGATGACAAAGCCAGATATTTCAATTTCTATATTAGTGTATAGTCCAATGGCTCCGAACTTTGTGGATGGCCAGTGAAACATTTGCATCCTTACATGATGGCCTGACTTTCAGTTTGTGGATTCAGATGCTGATGAAGAACTGCTCTTCAATATTCCGTAAGTACCAAAGTTGACAAATTATTGACTTAAAGGTTGCTGAAAGTTAAGTTAACATGCTTTTCAAGTTGAATGTCAAGCAGATCCTGTCATGGACCCCAGTATTACTTGGTTTAGTTGTTGGACAAAATGTGTTGTGTGGCCCTTGTCTGCTGACCCCAGCCGTGGGCAGTGACGGAAGTGGTGGTCCGAAGGCCAGCACCTTGCAATGTTCGTATTTTGGCAGGTTTACCGGCAACATCAAACTGAAAGGCCTCATACTGATCGGAGGTGAAGAAGGCACTCACCCGTCCAAAATTCGTCTGTAAGCAGCCATAACTGTGAGCCAGGATTCTCAACTTTACCTGGCCCTCCCTCCCTCACAGACGGGGGGGGGGGGAATGAGATCGTCCCTGCCTGCTGGGATGGACGCTGTATCACCGCGCAGTCTAAGTGGCCCAATTACCACTACTTATCCCGGGCTCCTCATTGGGGATGAATGTGTATTTGTCATCCCCACTTTGCCCCCTTTACCCGAACCGAAGTTTTGTAGGTGCACATATGCGAACAAAAGTCATATCTAGGTCACAGCTGAACCAGGAATTTGCGCAGGACTTAAGTGGGTGGGACACAGCTCAAAAATTTGCTCTAGTTTAGCGCGCCGGAGGACCAAATTCAGGTTAGAGAGGACCAAGTTTAGTGCACCGGAGACGCTCGCAACTTTGCAGTTTCTTGAAAGAACGCCTCGTTTCTCCGATACCATTCCACTTCGACGCGCCTGCCTCGAATTTGGAGCTATCACTGGTTCGCCGCGTACGCCCATATACGTTAGAAATTCCGTAAGGGGGACACACATGGCTCGGGTTCGGATATAGGTAAACACACTTCAGAAGGCCCCTTTTGCTTGAAGAGACCAGTTCCTGGACCAGGAGGCCCGCCTTATCAACCGCTCAGGCCCTGTTCCAGATCAGGAGATCCAGTTTTTTGTTAGGGGCCGCTGGCTGGTGAGGCGTAGATATCAGGTAAACCTGCCACCCCTCAATCAATCGGAAGGCCCCGTACCGGATAATGAGACCCCTCTCTGCATAGGCCAAGACACCTCTGTACTAGATCTGTAGATCCCCTCAGGTCATGAACCGCTTCAGTAGGCGCATCCCTCTTCGACACGAGGCCGGTGTAGAGCAGGCAGCCTAAGCGTTGTGGTCTTAAGAGAGTTCTGCGCTTAGATAAAACTGTGGCCTGCAAAATGTCTAGGTGCATGCTCCATGAAAAGCACGCTCCCTTTTTGTCCTGGAACCATGTTTGGGGCGTGAGCTTGGCCCCTCTGGACAAGGTCCTAGGTCTTGCGGACGGAAGATTGCGTAGCTCCTTGTGCGGGGACCGGGCAGCTGTAACGACAAAAGCCTCGCCAACAGCTACAAGAACCGTCAGCACATGACCTTCGACGACATGGCGCTCGCTTGCGATCAGGAGTTCGAGCTGCACCGCGACCCCGAGGGAAAGCTGGAGTACAATACCAAGTAAGCGCTTGCTGCAGCGAGTGCGGCGCGCCCATGTCGCTTGTGTCGAATGCCTTGCAGACGGGAGTCACACAAACTGCTGGCTCCAGGTCCGTACCCACGCGCCCAGGCTGGTGCCGGCACGCCTCGTGATAACATATCACACATCACTGGTTCGCTTGGGGTCCGGCTCCATATATTACGTTACGCATGAAGAGGGGAGGGGCGTGGTTCGAAACCAATGGGGAGCAAGAAGGGGCATTGGACGGTGAACGTCGCACTCAGACGCGGTTGCGAACTATGCTGGTATTGTTCTTCGTTTTGTTTGAAAATCTGTCTGGCTTCCTCTATTGACAAGCAACATGCCTGTACTTTTTCATTTGCACCTTTAGCTCAAGTAGGGGCCAAACAGGCGTTACATTTTTGGAACGTGACGCTCAACACAACGCAACCGTGGGAACGCGGTTTTCGCCCAGTGCAAACGGTGCGTACCCGCGAGGGAGATGTCACACTTCCAAAAATGCGTAACGAAAGCTACGGACCTGCGCTCCTCAGCGCCTCTTTAGCCATTGGTCGTTCACGCCTACACGCGGCCGTTGCAGAGTGGTGACTTTCTCGTCGGTCCACCACCTGACCATCCACATCCCGGGTAACATGGGCGGCGGCGAGCTGACCCGGCTGTATTACCTGGGACTGCGCGGCGAGTTCTCCCCGGCGCACCGGCACGGCGTCACAATCTGCAACTACGAGCTGCGGCCCAACGCCGCCGACCTCAAGGACAAGAGTCTGCATGAGACGGCCAACCAGCAGGTGCAGTGATCATGGGCGGCGTCTGGTTGTGCCTGAGGACCCTCGTGCTGGCGCCATGGCGCTGGGCTGAGGCGAGTGCCGCGGAGAGGCGGCCAGTGTGGACGCGGACTTGGGCCGACGTGAGTGCGGCGAAGTGAGGAATCTCGTGACGGCATGGTCTCCTGACCGACGACGCGGTCAAAACGATGGTTATGCATTGGTGAAGAACGCTCCAATACATTTACAAGCAGACTGATTGGTTTCTGTACCACCTCGGCTGGCGCATGGTTAGATTGTGTTCAAGTGGGGCGGCGGCGGTTGTTTACGATGACCAATGACCCGTTAGCCCCGGACGTCCACGCCTCAGGCCGAAACAAAATACCGTCAAGAACCGAAACCCGATCGATCTCATATACACAGTTATGTAAAACTCACGTTTAAGCGACTGATGAATGGTAAATTCGCCACGGGTGAGGCGTCCCTTGATGGCATAAATAGCAGCTTTTTAGCATATATATATATATATATATATATATATATATATATATATATATATATATATACAGGCCAACCCCCGTTCGATCAACGTCCGCGCCTCCCCATAGACCCGCGTTTTCGTCGACGTCATCGACCCACGTCATCTCAATTCGCCGACCTCGGGCCTCCTCTACACACGAGACTGCTTTTTTTTTGTTTATTTTCCCGGCCCCGTGTGGGTGGGTGTCCCCGGGCGGTTGGTCCGCCTCCACCGGAGATTGGAAGTGCAGCGCTCAGTTGCGGCCCTTCTTCTTCAGGTAGTCGTTGAGCACGTCGTGCGCCTGGGTCTCATTGCCCCAGTCGCGGATCACGACGCACGAGCAGCCCACTACCTTGCGCGCCTTGCCCTCGCGGTCGATTTTGCACAGGCCGGACCACTCGCCCAGCTTCTTGTTGTTGTCCACCTAGCCGAACACGGGGTGGTCAGGCGCGGGCTGCGCGTAAAGGCGGGGCGAGAAAGGCCCGTCCTAACGTTGGCATTGTCGGCCGCGAACGACAGTACCTGACACACCTAAGCTACATCCATCCAACTTGCATCACGCTGGCAAATCAACATTTAACACATCTGAATAAACAAACTGTTAGCTTTATCTGACATGCAACAGTTTATCAGTTGCGCAAAATGCTACCTTCTGCCCAGTTTCCCTTGAATTAAAATAACAAGTAAAAGCTGCCAATTGCTTTAAAAACTAATGGCCAAAAATTACCAACCAAGCTCATCACTATGGAAACCATGTCCACAAACTCCTTGCATTTTCACATTGCCTTCTGGCGCTCCCCACAACAAAATGATCTCTATGCCACATACCTTGAACATGGGGATATTGTGCTCCACACAAAGGGCTTCAACCAGCTTGACGTAGCTGGGCTCGTCACAGTTGGCCGCCAGGATGCAGAGGTGAGCCTGACGCTTGTCGAGCGCCTTCACCGCCTCGCGCAGGCCGCGCACCAGGCCGTCCACCACCATGGCGTTCTTGAGCACTTCCTGGACTGCTGTGTGGATGTCCATCACCTCACCACCCATCACGGGGGCCGGGGCCACGGGAACAACATCTCTGTGCGAGGAGGAGATTGACATTAGGCACAGCACAACACCAGTGGGAAACCAGTGGGAAACAGGAATCCACACTATCACTTATAAAAGGACTGGTGTGAACCAAGACCTGCTGTTTGACCTGACCTGACCTGAACCAAGCTGTTTGCAAAACAACTAATAGGATCCAAGAATCTGTAGCTAAGAAGTGTCAGTTATGAAATAACAGCCACCAAGGATCCGAAATTTCATTTTCAGAGGGAGAAATAAGAACTAGGAACCAATATTGGGAGCCAGATACATGCCTGTCTGAGCCCCAAAGCTAAACCAGGACATGGGATCTGTGACGAGCTGGGATTTTAATTGTGATTATGGGATTTTACTGTGACCTCGCGCCGTGGCCACCTGCGTTGCTTGAGATCGTTTCAGAAAATGGCTGGAGGAAATTCCCATGGGCATGGCTGACAAAGGTCAGTATCCATTGCAGATTGGCCACCAAACATCCTAGGACACATTCCATATGGTTTGGCCCTTCAGGGAACCTGGAAGCATAGCTTGACTTCACCTGGAAGCTTGAACCAACCACCCAAGTTATGCAGTCCCATCCAGCGACCAATTTTGCATCCACCCTTTTGCCAGACAGAACCACAGAGGACGTAACATAGCATGCGATGATACAGCGCTGCTGCCCCAAGCCTGGAATTAACAACCTGCTTGTTTGTGCTTTATCTGGTCAGTATTTACCAACATCAAGTTGTTGACCAATAAATTGTGAGTAGTTAAGTGCAACTACAAGGAGCATTATGCACATAGATACAGTTGTAAAAGCCTTATTCCTCAGAGAAAAGCCAGGAGAATGATGACAAAGATGGATTGATAGTGCAGGAACATACTTCTACTTGTTTTGATCAAGGGATGTTGCCAAAATGTTAACACCTATATTTCCACTGCCCTGTTTTTTCCTGAGGAGCAAAGCTATTTCTACTGTTTTATCTACCACTTATTTGCTTTCCAATCTGATTTATCCCTTTCTGATTACTGTTTAAACCCTATGGTCTTTTTGTTCTTCAGCATGTTGTAATCATCTGTCCCTGATGACTGTTATTTTTACCCCCCTCAACTTTTTTCTCATTAAACTTTGATCTGTTTGGCTTTAATCTTGAGTATGCTTGCTCTGGCTTTCTTACATTCAGCTACTTCATTTGACTTGTCTAGAGCACTGTCTTACTATTATGCCATGGTATAACAAAGGTTGATTATTATGGGCACATGAACTCCAAACAGTCACAATGTCAAAAACATGGAAGCCCCATGTCTTTGACCAGCATTAGGAAGGCTGTAGGCACTCCTGTAGGGCCTGCTTGTCATACTAACTTATTGAACTATCAGAATGGGTGTAACAATGAAAACTTATTCAAAACTACAACACAAACTGCTTGACATCGTAAACTTAAGACCAAACTACAAGTTCTCACCAATTGTCCAATCTAATAACTGCATACATCTTTGAGACTGACATCAGATTAGCTGTTTTAGCAGAAAGAACATGTGAAGCAGACTGCCCATCAAGGGGATTAATGCATTTGGAAACATTGTATGAACAGTGCTGAATCTCTAGGACTGAAATTCACTACAAACTAGGAATTGAGTGAAAATGCATCTACAAAAATAAAATAAGCATACAGTAGTCCACACTTATTTCACCAATGTGTCTTCTCCCACAAGGCTAGACAAACAACACTCCACACTAGTGCTCACTATTGAAATAAGCATGATGAAGTAACATATATACCTCTGTCAAATGACCATTGTGGAAGGAACCTGCATCTTTGTGCATGCTCTGGCATACCCAGTTTATATGGCATCAGTATCAACAGCACCACTTATTTCATGCAGCAACCAGCTGGGTCATAGTTGAGAATCCATCCACTCAGATGGATGTGAAAGCAACATTAGTGAGCTGGGACTGGCATATGTGACTACAAACCTGTTTCATGCTAAACAAAGTTAAATTATCATACCAGATGGAACAAAACAAATCATTAGCAGAAAATAAGAAACTTTTAGTCTTCACAGGTATTCTTACTAGAGATGACTGCAAGAACACTTCAATTCCATCAAACATCATTCATGAAGTTGAAATCAGTGACGCCAGTGTACCAAAGACAGCTAGTTCAACCACAAAGTGCATAACAATTTAAGGCACAATTTTAGTACTGGCACAGCCAGCTGAAAGTGATCAACTATGCTCAATGCTGACAGACTTCATTGTATCCCATGCACTGAACTTAGCTTAGTTCAACCAAATTTTCAACTTAATTTAGCATGACAGCCTGTGGTTTTTCCTTGAAACAGAGATGACAATATCAAGGCTTTTCAAATCTACTTTCTGAAATGCCCAGTGTAGGCATACATTGGTGCCTAATGTTAAAAGAAGCATTCTATATCATTTGTTGTGTTTAAGGTAGAACATATTGTAAATAATGGATAGATTCATGCTCAAACCTTCAAATTTGTATAATTATGATAGCACAAACAGTATGGAAGACTGGATACACAGACATATAAGTGAATTCTTGTTGCCTTGGCCCTGTACATTTTTATGGTTCTTGATGCAGAGTAATGTTGTAACCATGTGTAGCAATGATGCCAGGGTTGCAGTTACTGCATTTGCAGCACTTGACTGTTCCCTATCCCAGTTAATTAAGTTCCAAGTTAGGAGTTAAGATGAGCAGTTTTAAATTTTTACATGTTCCACCTTTAAAATGACCAATGATGTACATCTTTTTCAACATCAGGTACCAATGTATACCATGAACAAATGCCCAGATATTTACTGACACCAATAGCTTCACTCTTAAGTTCATAAACCAGATGCTCTAAAATTCCAGTCATAATGCCACTTATATCTGACATTACTCATGCAACTTATTCATTTCACAGCCTGATTATAAATCTGGACATATTCAACATAGCCCGCATTATAGGTCTTCATCTGGAGCAAAACCACATGATTCCACCAACATGGAACTTTAGGCCATGATACATATTCAGCCACAATTGATATTTATGGCATGCCAACAGCCCTAGCCACACAGTCCACCAAGCAGAGATGGTGGAAGCACAAATCCAATATTGCCAAACCATAATTTCACAAATTATAGCCAACCATTTACCAAACGCCGACTTCGAATAGCGTAAGTCGCACAATCATCGTACACCACGTGCTGCTGTTCGCGGCACGCTGCACTTACCCTTCCACGTCAGACATGTCTGCACGGTGGAATTCCTTCTGCAAGAAAAAAGAGGGTGGTTGGTCAATTCCATAAACCGGATGTCACATGTGTGGCAAAACGACATCACGATACCCTTCCATATACCAAATATCAGGACTTACAATGTGCCCGGCCTGAACAACTCGGAATCAAGCTTGAGAAGGAAGTTCAGGGGAAAGAGATGACATGTTCATGATGTAGTATCCGGGTAATGAAGATAATGTTGCGATTTTGGGGATTGATAAAAAATTGGTTTAAAATATTGTTTGTATACATTAAATAAACAATAAAATGGCAGCAAGGTTTAGAGGCTGTAAACAAACTTCAGCTCTATGGAAATCGTAAGGGTCTGCGGCTAAACCCTTTTCATTTCCGTGGCACTCAAGAGCATTTATAACTTATTTTTAAGAC